AGAGAGACACAGGATTGGCTGCGGCCAGGTGGTCCAATATGTCTGCGCCCTAATCCGACGCCACACCACACCACACCACATTGCAGTAGACTGCATTTAGTTTGCACTTATTTCTATGGAACATCGTCCAAGTAAAACGTCTTATATTGTTGGCACTTGTGTCGCTATTTTCGCTATATGGCTTCCCGTTTATCTGTATAATCACCAGTCCGTTGATATTGAGGCTGTCGTTAGTGGTCTACATCACTTAGAAGCCTCATATCGCCCCTTCCCACAACCCCAACCAGGTCCATTAGTAATGGTTGGCTTTGGTGGCTGTACCGATATCACACTTAACGCGCTTGACTTCATGGAGTCAATTGGTGTTAGTCCAAATGGATCAGATTTTTCGGACTCAAGCCCACAAGGCACACACGATGAGGTCGTCGAGTTGAATACACTCGAAGATATCGTTGAAGAATTTACAAAAATGTTTATAGCCGGTGCAGCTGCGGAGTAAGTTTTGAATTCCGCAATAATGCGCTTAATTGCAAACCCAAACTACTTTACTAATTTTGGGGCTTGCAGACGCTACGTGAAGAACCAAACACTTTTCAAATTTTTGGTCGATCAAGCAATTGCATGTCTGGAAAACCCGGAGAATTATCGTGAAGCAGCGACACGCGGATTCATGAGTTTAGGCGGCAATGCTCCTGTAATGGCCACCAGGTTGGCGAAAGAAGGCGCAGAGGTCACCTTGGTCGCACGGTTGTCAGCGCGGGAAGCTCGCGCACTCCCTCCTTCTGTTCGTGGTACGTGATTTACTTTAAATCAATTATCTAGGATGATGCGACGTCGTATATTTGTTCGAGACTTCTTTAGTTTTGTCGGCACCTTCAAATTTTGGGCTCCCAATGACTCCCGAGTCCGACGTCCACCTTGTTCTCGAATACGACCGCGGCGCTGTTTGGCGAAACCACACCGCGCCCCGTTCAAATAGGTGCGTTAGCCGAAATCAACTGTTTTTTACTTTTTATATGTCTCATTGTAATTGCTAGTTATTCGGGTATTGGCATATCTGAAAGTCCTTTTTGTCATGTGTTGATTTTATCTGCCTTGATGTACTTTCGAAACTGTTTGATTCCTCGTTTAATGAGCCATATTTCATTTCATATTTATCTTCCCAATTCCACAAAGCATAGCTATCCTCTTCGTGTTTAAGGTTATACGACCGGGTAGAAATCTAAATTCACAAATTCAGGGCACGTCAACATCTTAGGGTACTTATTTTGGCTTTGCTTTAAGGCCAATTCCCTTCATATTGCCCCTAGTGATGTATTTACGATGAATCTTCCAAATTTCACTCTTGTGGGAACGAAATTTGCGTTGGTCGGTGTTTGACGGTGATAGTGGTCTAGACCGAACGGCTTCTTACTAAGCTGGCTTTTATCGAACATCCTCATATTCATTTTATTGCCGTTAGTTTTGTCCCTACGGCAAACCACCAATGCCATTAATAACACAACAGATTAGATAAACTAACTATTCTTTTTTTGTACTGGAAATCGACCTCTTTGTGGATATCAGTACTTCTCGTGCGAATAAATTTTGGTATTCCGGCCCTGCACCAAGAACCGGTTATTAAGTTACATTGGAAGTGTTCTCTACCTGCACCCTCCAAGTGGTTGCCCTCATATAATGTGCTAGATTGGATGTCATGAAGGTGAGGTCGTTGATTACGCATTTAGTTAAGTCTTTTGCATAGTCTCATCTGTTTCAGCGTTAACTCGACACGAATTCAACTTACCAAGCTGTGCTCTACCATTCAGACTCCACTCCAAATCAAATTTCACATTGAAGTTATGTGGGCCGCTCCACTCCACGCACACAAACACCACCACCACCACCACCAACAATCATAGGGTTTAGTGGTGCTGTCGTGGTTGTGTGATGACCCAGACACTTGGGAAAAAGGAGGTTGAACGGCGTATAACAGTTAATTATCGGAAATCTATAAATAGAAATTAATCCACAAGGCAATGAGGCGGAGTCACGAAAATTGGCTGAAGGAACTATAGTATGCTTTTGTCGAACCGAGTTTTTGAATGCCTTCCTCAGCAATATTCCCCAATCGTTGTCTTCTCAATCCACTCCATGTGCTTTGTTGTCTCTGGGACTCAGCTGGTAGACGTGAAAGACCAGTGCAGGCCACCACAAGGACCCAAGAGCTGACCTTGGCGATTGATTTGCACCGTAAATGAAGCCCTAGTCAAGTATCATTGCGCAGTGTGATGTAATAAGAAGCAAATTTATGCTAAAATGTGGTTTTGTGGTCTCTAAGTACCACCTGAGGCCGCGTCTCTACTTATTGGCTGGCAAAGTGCGTGTGGAGGTGTGCTTTACAAATAAGGGTTTGTTGCGGCGCATTCACGTAAACCAATTGGTGCTGCTGCGCGCCACAGATTAAATTTACTTATTTTCGGCAGAAAAGCCACCTCACATTGAAGCTGAGTTATCACACTGCATAAAAATTTCCAGCCTTAGACATTTGTAAAAGCCCTTCTTGTCGATACGACAACCTTTGTGACCGCCACAGCACGGCTGCCCTATGGCATTCAAACCCACGCACACACACATACGCCGATCTGACTTTAGTCAGTTGGGATTATTATTGCTGCTCTCAGTGAATATCGATCGATTTGGGAATCTGCTTTCTTGGGGTTACTCTGGGTGTCTAGTTTGTCTAAGTTTTAGTTGCCTTAATGTTGCCAAAATCCTCCCAAGGCTACTGTTGTCAGTAAATAGAGTGAGCTAGCCTCTGGCCATAGCTAACCTAACCATCAATTGCCATTTTTAATCAAAATCTGTGCTTTCAAGCTCCAGGTAACTTAAATTAAATGTCAACTGTTAGCATTCATTACAAATCCTGTCTTTTGTCAAAGTGACGTAGATGGTAGGGCGTTTGAGGCCGCTGTTCAATTGAATGAATAAATTGTAAAATGGGTCCCATGTAACCTCGTTAAAACTTGAGTATAAGTGAGCCCGCTTGATAAATGGGTGATTGCACCTTACCTGTGCCTTCTTGCAGCTCAACCGTCAACCTCATTTACTCGAAATTCGACTCTACGCCTTCCATTCTATCCATCGAAACGTCGGTTGGCACTTTTAGAAATCGTCTCTTGTTGTAGTTGGGACTGTAGGTACCAGCACCATAACACTTGGTGCGTCCAATATTACTTGCTGGTGTGCAATATCTAGCCAATGATATCTTCGATTGTCGCGTGACCTTCAGATTAGTGGGGGTGACGCCAAATGAAATTAAGTAGTATAAATTTACTGACAGTGTGGCGTCATTTGATGCTGAAATTGTGTTAACTAATGACACTTGTGTTCTTTGGTTTAAAATCAAGATGTTTTTTAATCACCGCATTAAAAAAATGATCGATCCTCAGTCATTGACGCCTCGTATTAACTCCAATGCGAAATCGCGTGGCTTAGGAAGTCACCAAACATGCTGTCAAGGAAACTGACGGTGCAATATAGTAAAACACTCGGAGTAATTCCCTCAACACACCAGTGGAATTTTCTCTTCTACTTGACATTGTTATTGTGTTTTTTTTTATTTTCGGGGTTTCACGGTTGGAGTAAGTTGGTTTAGTCAGGTACTTTGTTGTCCTTTTTATCACTGAGTTTTGCATTCTGCCGTACAGAAGCCCAGGTTGATGGTACCAAGCTTTATCAAAGTATGGTCTATGCTAAACGCGAGTGGGCTGTGTTTACCGCAAACCCACAATGCTTTTTGTCGTGTGTTGAGATTACACAATGTGACGCCATGTTGCACTCGGTGGCCGGCTTGCCTTCAGATCTACCGCCAGACCTGCCATTTGCCATAGTTCAACTTATTCAACATCATCACTCCACTTTTCTTACTGCATCGTCGGGCACTTGATTGCAGGAACCTAGGGATGGTCGATTATGCCAGCGTATAATGTGTGTTTACTTGTCGTGGTTTGGTTTTAACGTTCATTTACACCGTTACATGGGTCCCTGTGTCTCGTCGAGGCGTCTCTTGTCAGCACGTTTGAGAAGGCGCAGGCTGCCACCGTTCTGTCGCGTCACCCGTGCAAGTCGTTAACTCAACGGCTCACTCACGACCTGCCCATTAACGAATGAGTAAACGGATGTGTCTTCGTAATACTTTACCATCCAACCGCTTTCTAGGTCCCCTATCCGGGGTGGCTAAAGTATCGTGGTGGGTTTCACAACCGTCACCACAGGTCATGTATGACCTTAGTGCCCCACTAAACTCCTATGTTAGCACCACGATGACTCACGCCGTTCCTGTTTCTGAGTTATCAATTCACACACGGACAACCGGTTCAGTCTCCCCCCTTGGGTACTCCGTGGTTTATCGTGCTACAACAGTATCCCCAGGTCACTAGATACGTATCTCCTAGACAGATCTGCAACCCAACGGCTATGCCGCTCACGTTCCTTTCCACCACGGCACCTGACACTAAAACACAAAGTCACTGTGTTTGTGGACATTGTCAGGCAATGCTCCAGCCAAACTGATTTCTAGCTCCATCCCCTCCTCCCCTTCCGCAGGTATATTTTAATTCGTGATGAGGAAAATCCCCGCCTGAGCAGTCTCTGGCCCGGCCTAATGTCCTCCTGGGAGAAATTTGGCAACCACGGCGGCAAGAAGCTGGGCGACGCTGCGGCCTATCCCGACCTCTTTGTTGTCGGTGGCCTACAGACCATGGACAATGCCATGATCTCGCCCGGTAAGGCCTTTCCGTCCTCTTTAGCCGCCCTTGGGAGCGTCTATTTTTTAATGGGCAGAAAGTTGTTGCGGGCCCCAGCATGTGCTCTTGAACCACGCCGGGGCCACGGAATTAACTCTGGCCCGGTTACTTTAATCTGATACGCGCGATGAAGAAAAGGATAGGAGAGGATGTGGACACAACCGTTGGTGTTGTTGTGGCCATGTGTGGGGTTTGCGCGTGTGTATTTATACCTCGGATGTGTGAGTCATACATCGAGACCTAGGTGCGAGGATAATCCAAGATAAATATCGGTGTGAATGAGGGGGGAGTTGAGAATCCGCGCGGCTGGCGACATGCTGCGAAAAGGGGAACCCTGTGTCGGAGGCGGAGCGACCGGATTAAGGGGTGTTAATAAACACGAATCACAACAAAGTAGTTTTGGCATTCATGAATGCACAACGCTTTTGCTCGACACTTGTGTGATGTTGTAGAAGCGAATCACACGTGGCTTTGCTGCAAATCGTGAGGGAACTGTATTTCGCAGACACTGCAAGGTTTCGCATTAGGATTCACCAGTTTGCAAAATGCCTTGAATGGTAAAACACCCTCCAGTACTGAAAACTCGTATGTAAACAACTGAATTCACTTGATTGTCCGTGTGGTTCGACCGTCACCGCGAGATCACAATCCCAGGGGCGCGGCCGCGCGTGATTGGCCGGCCACGATGGGTGGAACTGCTGGGTTTTTTCCATAACTGAAATGCCTCGAGTTGCTAGAGCGGAGGGAGTCTGTTGTTTTACTACGGCGTTTCTGCAATTGCAGTGTCGTTTTTCCACAGTGTAGGAGAGGAAAACGCGCCACCATCCACGTCTTAATTCATTTCAAACCTCATGTGCATGGTGGTGTCTTCTGTTGATTGTTGAATTTGGGCCAGAACTAGTTGGCCCTTGAAGAATTTAAATTTACTGTTTGTAGAAGCAACAGTAGGGGTTGATTTTGTGAGATACCGTTTGCATTTCAGACATTCGGCCGCAGAGGATAGACGAGCTTAAGCGTTTCCTTTCTCTGGAGTTACCACGGCCTACTCTTGTCCACTTTGAAATGGCCTCGTTTGTTGAGACTAACTTTATCGTCAACCTCACACGGGCCATACTTCCCTACGTCGACTCCATCGGTAGGCTGTTGCCCGTCCCCTAACTTAACTTCCAGGTAACCTGAGTTGAGCGCTTTTAAAGTGCTCTCTTGTTTAGACATTGATTATTGGACAATACTAAATAGACGCGGACGCACTTTTTGTGAATTGAGTAGCATTTGCCTTCTCACTTGAAGGTCTCAACGAGCAGGAGTTGCCGAACCTGTTGAGCCTGCTGGCACACGGTCGGGTGGCACCCCACGCCAGCCTCTCCACACCCCGGGCCGCGGTGATGCTCGACACAATGCGTGAGATCTGGGCCCTCCTGACGGACCCCCTGCACCTGCCGCGCGTCGGCAGCGGTCTTCGACGTCTCTCGCGCATCCACCTCCACACCCTGGGCTACCAGATCGTCATGGTTCGACGACCCAAGGACCCCGCAAAGGCCCAGCGCATGGAGCAGCAGGCTCGTCTGGCGGAGACGTACTTCAGCCCGACTGAGGTCGGCACGGCTTGGCCCTTTGCCCGGGCTGCCGCCGCCAAGGTAGGGCCTTTTTTCTTGAATAGACCGCCGCCGGCACGTGCGTAGTGCTTTAGCTTGATTTGGGTTTTAACAGCGTTGGTTAAACAGAATGTGTGGTAGCTGTGTAGAGGCCTCGAACCACGCCGTAGCCAGTGTTCTACGTGAGTACAACGCGACCAGGCAAGAGAAAGAAGGCCAGCGCTAACGCGGAGGCCCGAGTCGCGTAATCTAATGAAGAAATTCGCGAACTCGTGTAGGCGAGCTGACCCCCAGAGGTTGATAATACGAATCGATGTGTCCGTTTGTCCATTCCTATCATAGGCGAGTCTTGTAGCTCATCGGCACACCTGTGCGACGGCCTCGATAGACCCGGATCTGACTCGACTCCTGATGGACGACTCCTTCGCGGTCACCACCGACCCGCGACGCTGGCCATCGACCCAGCTCCCAGACAAGAAGATTCGCCGAATTCAGTTCGACCCCTCTTCTCCGGTCTCTTGCTGGTTTGAAGCGGAGCCAGTCTTGGAGTATTCACGGGCGACGAGCATTGAGACCCAGGTGGAGATCTGCGTCGCTCCGGTGCCGGTGTGTCGACGGGTCTTTCGGACTGTTGGTGGAGGCGATAACATTTCCGCTGCGGCTTTGAAGGCGCAGCTCATTGAAAGACATTAGTTTCCTGTTTTTTGTTCTCCAATGTGATTCATTTTGTACGTTTATATTAGAGTTATGAAATTATCCCACTGACTGAGTCTTCATATAATTAAAATGGGAAAATTAAGTCGGGGGTGGACTTAACTGATGTAGCGGTTTTGGAAACCACATCGTGGCAGGCACTATACGCTGACAAGGCCCGACCGAAAGGAAAATGAAAATGCAGGTGGCGTGTAGCCAGACTTATTAATTGATGCGGCAGCAGTGTGTGTGTGTTGTACAAGAGAGTAAGTCAGTTTGTATAGGATCGACTAAACAACAATCCCCGAGCGAACACAGGTACGTGAAACGCATTCACGTAGATCTGTTGAAGTATGTTCGCTCACGGCTGCTAGCTGTGCCCGCCACAATGTCATCGCTGATGGCCTTATCAATATGCTCTCTGATTTAGCAGTCTACGAGTAATTTCACACACTTCCAACATCAAATAGCAACAATAATCTGCAACCTGTGGCACTGTCAGTTGTACCTCCGCTAAAGCCTCCTTGGCCGCCCTTCAACAGAGAAGCAGATGCTCCATCGGGTCAGTTAATTGAACTGTCTGATCGAATTATAAGCCAACGCTACCGATGCGAGGTAGACATTAGGTAATCATTCAGATTTTCTTGAACCAAAGACACATGTCATGTTACTGGGTAAGCCACTGTGGTGACGGTCTGCTATTTGAAAACAAAGGGTCTACATCTGCGACCTTCATGGGTTTTTAAATCTGTCAGCATTTTTCTGCCGAACTTTCGTGCCCATCTTTTCTTCCACGGACATTGGGATTGTTTGACACACGACTAATTGACACCCTGACCCAAACAGAAATAATGCTTCGCGTCTGCCGAGGTGGCTACCGGCTTGCTGTGCTGACTTCTGTGGAAAATTTAATTTCAATCAAAACCTGCTTTGCTCGTGAGGTTGTAACCGACAATTGCGTCAATTACCTCATCGACACAAGCAGCCCAACGACACATGCTGTGTTACTACAACGCGTTCGAATTCTGCAGAACTGGGTGGTGAGATCTTGGCTTATTGGAACCCAGCATAACTGTAATTAGCTTTGCAAGTATGAAAGCCATTAAGACCAGGTAACTGAAACCGGTTTTGTCAAGTCTAGGCGGCAGAATTCAGGACTGGAAACTAAAGGCGGTTTATCGGCCCGAACTGTTACCCAAGTGGCCTCATCTACTGTCAAAACGCGCAGTAGAAGCAGAGGATTTATGTGTGAAAATAATAGCCATTTTGCGTTAAACGTACAAAATGTCATAGTGCCCGGGTCGATACAATAGCACAACCGGAGCAGGAACCTTTTCACCAGCCGCCTCGCCCTCTCGTCCTGGAAATTCAAGTGTATTCAAGTTGCCCGATTGTTGACAGTTCTCAATGCTAATTGGAACATCCACAGCCAGTGACAGTGCCGATACGTGAACATGGTCGCTTGACAAACCCATTAGCTCGACTTCCTACAAGATACAGGACAAAGGAAGTTGGCGGGGGTGAGAAAAAGCACAAAAGCCGCACACAGGCAATTTACCGTTTCACAAAATCTCTTCACGGTCTTTCCATCTGAAATGAAATTTGCGTAAAATTCCTCGTTTCTCTGCATGTAGCTGGAGACGACAAGTCTAAAGAATTAAAGGCATTGGAGTTGATTGTTATAAAGAGAAAAAAACTGCTTCAAAATGCATTGATGACTTGGCGCATGAAATAATGGGTTAACTCGATAAACTGAGGGGGGCAAAGAATGGGGAAAAAACCTGGATGCTTGTTAGGGCACAGTTAAGTGGCAAAAGACAGGAAACAACGACACACTTTAAAAGTTGGGATAGAAAACTTAAGAGAGGGCGGGACTAATCGCACACGGTAAAAACTGCATTTTGTGGTGTGCGAGCAGATTATCAAACATGATTGATTAAGTTACCGAATAACAAAATAACAACAATGCTTGAAAATGCACACCTAAGAAAGACGACGTAATAATCAGAATAGGACTGATTGTTGAAACGTTCCTCTAAGTCGGAAACCTGGCCATCATTTAAAACGAGGTCTTCCACCATTCCGACGAACTAGAAAGGACTAGTTTTAATCAAGCCACGTACTTGCTCGTGAAAATCCTCCACAGTAAATTGAATATAGCCGAAGGAAACGAGGGCGTCTTTGCATTCGTCACAGAAACGAATAAATCTAAATACAGAAGGTTAGTCATAGAAAAAGAAAAAGGCGAAGAGGACGTGGTGATACTGGAAGCTAACCTTTTTGCTTCTTCGATTCGCCTTCCTTCTATTAGGTACTCCAGATAAGCGAACCCGAAGGCACGATAAAAACAATTGCCATCGCGACGGACCCGACGAATTTTGCTATATTTTGTATTTAATACCTAAATATTAGAAGGAAGACGTTAAGACCGAATACAATGAAATCGATAAAATCCCAAGCGAAAACTCACTTCTAACTTCTCCAAATATACACGATGACCATCAAAGTCGCTTTTAAGTGTATCTAGCGGCAATGGCTCACTAACGAGAGGTCCACTTTCCTTGATCTATAATATTAGAATTAAATATACAACAAACCGATTTTTCAATTTCCTCCTGCTGATTTTGTATTGCTTCATAACAGTCGGAGGAGGCGTACCCTACAGCGTCAGATTCCTCAGGCATACCACCAGTCGCAGCTGGCTTGGCTACAAAATATTACGCAATGTGAGAACACACCTGAGTCTTCCATTGTAGTGTAGTGTCGCAACTGTTGTGTGGTGCAACGACGTCTTTGGGCGCAGACATATTTGACCTCGCTGGCTTCAGCTAATCCTCTGGCTCTCTGCATTCCAATGCGATGCGAGGAAGATATGCAGCCAACCAGGGAAAGACATGAATGAGAAGCAGTATATATTGAGCGGAGCAGCCAGTGTGGTAGACTCGGATGAATGGCGCCCAACGTGTGGTTCTGGCTTGTGATTGGTCAAAAAGCCTGTTCTTTTGTACCAGTCTTATTCATACTAGGGCTCAGGTATTCTACATTGGTGAGAGCGGATGCGTTCGAATAACGCGAATCGAACCCCAGCCCTTTATCTTCTATGGTCAACAGAGGCAAAGACCCTTAAATGCCAGCTGAATTTGTCATGGCGGTCATCCGATGTCTCAGAAGTTGAATCCATATACATTGCCCATAATAAGGACTGTTGGATCTGAAGACGACATCTTAAGTCATGAACGACGACATGGACAGTTGAAGCCGGATGGACTGAACGTGTGGAAAAAACCTGCGATAGATGAAGTGGCATTTCTGCAAGTCAACAAGAGCAAAATCTATCGTCTGCTATTCGAATAAGCCATTATCCTGCCAGATGTGGGGGGTCGGGGGGTGTCGAACAGAATATTTTGTTATTCATCAACAGTCCTGGGAATCGAGGCGGAGTCTGAAAACAGCTTCCCTCCTGATGGGAACGCGGTGTATTGCAGCGGGACGGCAGATTCCTGCCATCTTGGCGCCCAGTCATTAGCTGAAGGTAATCGGCACGGCGTAGTGACGACGTCATGTGATCGGGGGTGCGACTTCCGGCTGCATGGTGTCATGAGGGCATTGAATGACGCGCCAGGCACTGAGAGCCAATTCGCTCATGAGTTCTCGGTCTCCTTTGCAGCGCCGCGGAACGGACCAGTGGAAGAACAGGACAACCAAGACAAAGATATATAACGACCTGGTTTCCCCCTTTACTCCCGATCAGTTTGTGATTAGATTGTGACTTGTTTCAGCCCTTATTAAGGAACTCTATTTTGCCACACCCTTTTCTTAATCATACTATTGGGCCGAAGGGTGCAACTGGTGGCAGCGTTCCCTTCTCAAAGACGGAAACTGACCCGTACAGTGACCAAATATTATGGAGTATAGGCAATTTTCACCCCCAACCACCCGAGTTTAATATCGATGATGATATCGAGGCTTGGGTGGACAAGATGGAGCTGTTTCTGAGATAAAAAGAACTGGGTTCTCAATCACACATGGTGATGAGAAATCTGTCTGTTCCTGCCAGGTGTATTGCCGTAATGTCCGGCTGCTTGGAGGATACCCCCTATGAACAATTGCTCGAAGAGTTCTCTAAGCAGTTCATGGAGGACGCCAAGCGTTCAGTATCGACGTATAGGAGCGCTGGCCTCAGCCAAACATCTGTTATTCTGCGATCCAATGGCATGCAAGGAGAATATGCAGCCAACTAGAAACAGACGGGTTTGAGATGCAGCATATAATGAGAGGCGTAACCAGCGTGGTAATCTTGAATGGACGGTGCCTGACGAGGTGTTTTGGTTTGTGATTAGTCAATAAAGTCTATTCTGTCTTACCGGTTTTCTTCATACTTGGGCTCGGGTAATCTGTACCATCTTTACAATGGCAAGCGACGCTAAGGTCACGAGATCACGCGAATTAGTTTTTTCCCTTACGAACAGATTTGGATCAGTGAATGATATTGAATGCTAGTCCAATGGGTCGACCTTCTAGCTAAATAGCAATCACGCTATCACAAATAAGCATTTTAGGTACATGGAAAAGTAAAACCACTGAATAGATAAAAAAGAATAGCTGTCACTGAATTAAAATATGCACATAATTACAAGCAGCTTATAATTTTATTAACTCTGGAAGAAGTGCTGTGTTTATAATTTTCATCCAGCATTATTCAAATTACTGCAAGTTCATAAGTGTCACATATAACACATGAAATGGAATAGTTCAATTCCATGTTGATTTGAGATTTACCCTTTGTAATGCTCTTTTTAACTTCATATTGCATTGTTAGCACGATATTTTAGAAGATACCAATCTGTTTCCTTTTTTAATATTGTTTTCTCGATTTTTTACCACATATACTGTTACCAGTCCAACGCGTAGGAGAAGCAAAATTGTCTCAAGCTTTTCATGAGCGAAATTCAAAAGGTTTTGATATGCCTTGCTTTATTTAACTAATAGGCAGACATTTGGACATCTCAGAATTGTAAAGCATGCTTTTCAATGCCAAAACTGCGGTATGCTGCAAATATACTTAAAATTCTTTCTCTAAGCACAGACTCTTATGAAAGTTATTTAGTGTACATCGGATTTAGGATTCAATTATAAGCTATTCAACCGCTTTCTTTCTTACATAATTTTTGGGTCCCAATAAAACGGAAAAGACTCTTCCCGATGCTGAAGTAATTTAAATTTGGCAAAACGATAGTGTGCTTTTATAATTTTTCTTGCGTCAAAATAATTATTTATGATACTGTGGTAAGATACCATTTGAATAATTTAAAGGAGAAATTAGCTCGAGGGAAACCGTTTAATGTGTCTTAACCAAATTGATTCGTGGTGCAGGTTGACTGCTGGCCAACATAACATGAGTTAGTTTTAAAATATTTAAATCGTTGAATGGACTAGGTAAACGTTGTGATAAGCGAAGAAATAAGAGACACAGGAGTGAGAGAACGTAGGATCTCACATGGCTGTAAAACACGCTGGGAAGTTTTAAATTACTGAGGAATATAGTGAAAGGGTAACCGATAGTCAAAAGGTTAGAATCGTGGCGCCGTTCAGCGAATATTTTGTGACGCTACGGACTCTGTAATTTTCTATTAGTTAGAAATGCAAATTCACGACCCCGGTTCCTATATAACGATTTTGGAGATACTAATATAAGTGAAAAGTAAAGAGGAATATTCCAAAAAGAACCACCAAATCCCTATCTAGAATATTTATGACATCTTATTTTTAAAAACCAAGCTTTTATAGCCAAATGACATCTTATTATGTCATTTGAAAGAAGTTTGCCTCTGTGAATTTTTCATTGGCCATTAATGATACAACCATCCTACCACTTTTAGTTCTCGTACCATTTCGCTTCCATTTATTAGGCCTTGACAACTCCTCTGTAGCATTTGTTTTATTTAGCAAAAATTTTCTGCTAAGTATGCACAATATTATAGCCAACAAAAGTGCATAATCGTCTTCACGTTGTTTTTTGTCTAAATTATTTTGACTAATGCTAATGATAATGATAGCCGAGGACGAGGGTGTCTATCCTTACACTTGATTGGCGTTTGTATTTTATTTATCAGGAAGCTGTTCACGTCGTCTATAATATGGTGTCTCCATTACGTGTCTCTTTTTTTCAAACGTCGATTAGGCGTCCATTTTTGTGCGTGTTTAATGCTTTTCCTTTGAATAAACTTCGTCAAAACGTTTTCCCATATGTCAAAGCCGCGCTTCTCTCTACGGCGCACGAACCCTTCGATGTAAGCTTTTGGAGGGTCTGTAGTAATAACCAAACTTAGGGCGAAGAAATCAACGAACCTGATACCCTTATTAGGAAACTGGAACTTGAAGTCAAGGGTCATGAACCAGCTGTCCTAAAGAGCTACGAATCATTTGTCCAGAAAGTTTGTGGTCACCTGGATCTTCATTGCAATGTGTGAGTTTGTTTGTACACAAAGTTCGCATTACCGCCACCAAGACAGTGGCGTGCGGATATTTGTTCCTCCTTTACAGCTTGTAATCATATCGGATTCTCGGTTGTGTCGAAATTGCCATGCTTTCCCTAGTTTGGTTGTCCACGTCATGTCTCTTTAGCCTTTTGTTGTCTCTACGAGTTGCCTATTTTGGTAATTCTCACTTAGGCATTTCGTTGTTGTCTTCCACCACGAAGAGACATTTTTCTTGACCACAAGCCTTTTCAATGAGTGCGTAGCAACCTGTACACTTTGGCCTCTATCCTCATTTATAGTGAAACGCGTCATTCGCCAATATTTGACCGCCTCTCGTTGAACAAGTCACCATTCATTCACAAGAAACACCAACGCCAATATGAGTTCCGCACTTACGTGAAGACTTTCACGGTTCGCTAACTTCCAGCCTTACGCATTCCGTAGATCCCCCACCTGACAGGATGCACGGCGAGTGTCTTCCTCGAGTACATACAACGAAATCTTCCCGCGGGCGTCCACATGACTGTTATACAGGTAAGGGGTGCACGCCGAGACCCTACTACATGTTTATGAGTCTTTTCTACATCTTTAAAATACCAAAATAATTGTGTCACTTAAGGCGTCGCAGAAAAACGGTGCGAATTTACCTCTGTAGCTGTGTATGTTCTTGCTAAGTATTCAGTTAATAACAGTGACTGATTCATACCCTCAACTAAACCAAGCGCAGAGAAACGGCACCTAGATGGCAGCCCTCCTCGAAAAACACCCCATTTGAAGTTACGTGTTAGTAACAATGGAACCCTCTTTTTAGCATCGTGTTGAACCTCTCCCCGAAGCTCTACAACGACCCATTGAAAGTGATGGACAGCACTGAGTGGATGATTTACAAACGTGCTTTTTTTCTGTAAATAAAACCTTGTATTGATGTCTTTGGGGTTTGTTAGCTATATACCTTGTTACGTTGCCAAAATATGCGTACTCGTATAGACAGTCCAGGCAAAATACGAACAAACAATAGTCGCGAAGTGTGGCGAATGTTATTTGAGAACACAGAAGCAGGGGGGCAAGATGCCGAATTTGGTGGGATGGAGTCAAGTGTGATTAAGTGGTGTTGGCCCTCAGTCCGATGCACCTGCAGCTTCTGCTCTTCTTCCAGTGGTCGCCAACTGGGTAAGTTCGTCTGCGTTCACTTCGCCGGTCATTTCTTAAAAGAGAAAAAAATGCTCAATGCTTAGTTACAGTAAGTTCTGGTGTTGAGGGCAGTCTCAGGAACCTACCGACAACGTTCAGGAACTCGGCCACCGATTCAATGGGAGAGAGGGAACCTTCAAAGAAAGATAGTAGCTTTGGTGTGGATGATATTAACTGCTCGTCTGAACACCGGATGTAGTCTGATAAGGCCTTGGGCCAGGCATTCGGTTCCCCAGAGTCCGCGACAACATCCTAAAAGCAAATATCGCAAGTTGGGAATCTATCGATAACGCATGTACACTTTGACGTCAGGCAAAAAAACTAGTTTTGTGATTCGACAATGTCCACCCTGGAGAGAGATGCTAATTCGGGAAGGAGCCAGTGACTGACCTTGAAGAGGTGTTCGTAAAACGACTGGATCAGTCCAAAGAAGAGGAGGTAGGGTTTGTAGATGGAGAATTCAACTGATACCGAGTTGTCGGTTGTGGTGGCCCGTGCATATGCTAGGCCCATCAGGTGACGCAGTAGATTGGCCCGGTGTTTGCGCCACTCTTTAGGGGTGAGAAGGTGAAGAGCAGCCACGATGGAGTAGAGCGGGCCGAGGGGATCCCAGCAGGCGCCTGGGTCGGTACTCCAACTAAAATGACCCAGTAATTGGGCTTTAGTTCATGGGGCATGAGCTTTTGCCAATTCACCAACACGTCTGACATAAAGGAGTCTAGCAAGTGAAGTTGGGGCATCGCATTCACCGATACAATGATTGACTTACTAGGTCTCGGGTCTGACGATAAGATGCATGAGATTGGATTGTTCCGCGACCACAGTCTGCTCCTTGTTCAGCTCGAAAATAGCGATCTAAACGAGGTTCGAGGTAAAAAAAAAGTATGCAACGCACCTGCATCAAGTGGGGAACCAGGTTCATGTTGCTCTCTCTTGCACCGCCACCGGTTTCGCTGTGGAAGGGTCGCTGATGTGCGAACCGCAGTAAAAGCAGCTTGATGTCGTGGAACACAAGCTTCGTCGAGATGGGTAGCGAAACTAGGGACTGAAAAAGACGCGACGGTGCCGATTAGAATGAACTCAAGTTGCCACTGCTGCCGAGTGCTTGAGAGAGGCCAGTGCTTACCATGATATTCATCGCGTAGGACGACATTCGCTTGGCAAAAAGTTCATCCAGATTCGTTCGGAGGTCGTCCTCCCCCTGGTTAGCTTGTGTTCCGCCCATGAGAATGGGGATGAGACAGTTGCAGCGGGCATCCCTGTTGTGACGCGAGGCCACAGTCCATTCGCTCTGGTTAGAAGCTCTTATGGCCTAAGGGAAAGCAAATAGGCTGGAATAAGCACAATTGAGGTACTGTGTGCGGCAAGAATAAGGAGAAACAGTCACTCATCAATGCGTCAACGTGTGCACCAAACGAATTTGTTTCCGCTTTCGCGCTCGTATCAACACATTATGTGTGCTGCTGAATGCTCAATTAGAAATTCCTCAACCCCTGGCGGCTGTAACGCATGAAAATGTGTCAGCTAACACGCGCATACGCATTTCATCATAATGCTGCATAACAGGAGCGCAGAGATCGCTAATACTGTCAGATCAGTTGATTGAACTGAAAGCCGCTTTACACACTTAATCGAGTTGTGATTTCAACTTGAGTGGGAGGACAGATATCGACCACAAACGGGACTGTGTTGTTTCCTGTCATCAGGAGCCCAGGAAACAAAAACGAGGCAGGAGATGCAAATACGGACTCACTTTGACATGGCACTCGAAGTGAACCACGACAAAGCTCGACACCGTCGTGAAGCCTTCGCTGTCCGTCGTCGAAGGTGGTGCACCCGACTTGCCAGGCGTCGACCGGGATGACGTGGACGGTGTGGTGGAAAGACCCTCTTCGAGAGGACATCGACGGATGAAGACGTAGATTGCGAGCTCCTCCTGCGGCGCCGAGCGAGGACCCCCGTGGCAGATGGCGCACTGCAGACCCGTCTCCTCGACCACCTGGGCTGTCATCTCGGCCAATTTGTCCGACGCTGACATGGCTACCTACGGACACAAAAACACAACTCGGCGCTTCATTTGAGGCCTCCTTTAGGTGGCATGTAATGGCCAAAAGGGGTAAAACATGCAATGGTCGCATCATCGAAACCATGATCGCTTGACTGTGCGGGAAAAGACGCAGCTTTTGGGCCTACCTGTCCTTTTTCGTTGATCTTCATGTTGAGCGAGAGCAACTGCCTCTGTCGTACTTCCCGAGCGATGCGTCGATTCCGTTGAACAGTTAATCTACGCAACTCGCGCACTGTGGAGACTACTCCAGCGAGCGATTGTGGGTCCACGTCCGTACCACCACCTTCTGCTTCGCCCTCTTTTACAGTCCCAACCCACTCATCAAGGAGGTCTTCGGCGAGCAGGCCCACACGACCCGCCGATTTGGAGGTCTCCAGTTTGTGCAGGAAGGCAAGAAGTTGGCGGGTTGTGCAGCCAGAAGGGGCTGCAGGGAAGGCGGGAGGAATGGGGTCATCGGTGCCGTGCCCGACCGTCCACACACAACCTCGCATGAGTTGGAGAACGAAGGGCAATGCGTTATCCGACAGGAAGCACTCCAAATCAGGGTCCTTGGTGCTAGAGGGAAATAAAATTGAGAAATCAGCAGGATACACCTCACCCTCAAGCCCCCAAGAAAGTACCATAAGATTCGTATTTGGTGGACCTCATCCAGTTCAGGATAATGGCTCTTCCACAAAGCACATAATAGTGCATTTTTGTGAGAAAAGTCGGACTTTTCCACAGAACGGCATACTTTTAGTGATAGTTGAAAATGTTTACCAAAAGTTATGTTATTCGTATCGGCCGCGTTTTTCCTATTGGCTCACCATTCTCTTGAATAACGTGCCACCTACTTTAGTAGCCGTCAAGGTCACCCTCTGCATTTATAATTGGGTAACTGCACGTGTTGACTCAGCCCTTTTGCAAAGAGAGGGAGAGAGAAAGAGTAAAAACACGCGTTCTATACTAGCAAGGTGGAAATGCTGGCACTAGCAGGGGATTTTGTTCGTTCCCGGGTAGTGCTAGGTTTAGCCGCAAAACGCAACAACTTTCCCTAACGGTTTTCTCTAAATTCGCTAAAAAATCTGCGAATGCTTGCCACGAGTCACGCATCTCATTTCCTCGCCTTTACGTTAAGACGAAGCAGACGATTAAAGTTCAGGCTTACTCAAGTGCTGCTTCTTCCGACAGGGCGAGTACTTTGGCAGGAATCAACTCCCACAAGTAGTTTACACACAACGAGAGCAGGCCCAAATCCGTCACCAGTTTGGCTCTCAATCGGCGACCGTCGAGGGTCTCATTGGGGATTCCCGTGACCAGGGCACAGCAGCACTGCATCAAGTCAGCGTTTCCGACCTCGTGTGCTTCCAGACGACGCACCGCGTGCTGCCGTAGGAAGTCAACAATGGCGTTCATTCGAGAGGCCTCGCCAAGCGCGAGGAGACCGGGGAGACGGGCAACTCCGGAGTGCACGACGGCCAGATCGGACTGCGAGGCAATGCAGTTGAGGAGGCGTGGAAGGAGGAGGGGACCAGCGTCGGAGCCGAGCGACGTGGCGCCACGCAGGAGGGCGGTGAGGACACGCACCAGACGCGAGGTCACTTGATCGTGGAATTGGGCGTGGCAGTGGCCTGCGGGCAGGCGAATCACATGCAAACAGGCGGAAAGCACTTCCAGCAGGATCGGAATCGCGCTGAAAACGAGGCATACGGACTCTGTGTGAAGCACAGACTGAGGAACAGCATTGAAGAAACGGAGGGATTGCTACCTGGGTTAAGTTACTTTTCGAGGCAGAAAAGATACTACATGATTGGTTTAGTTTTTTTTTGAATCTTCATAAGGCTAAAACGAATGAATGTGCACTGGCAGGGGGCTGTTAATTAATCAACGTGGGAAGTTAGTCGGTGTGAATTAGAGTGTCCGAACGGGTAACGATAATTCGGGGACGTGCTGACGGGCCAAAACGAGGGTACAAACGAATTGAGCCAAAGCCTCTCCACAAACAGAAGCATTGTTTCATAGAATTGAACACGGACCAACATACCGGTACTGTGGGTCCACGAGACGCGCTTGACACTGCGGAACCTTGAGGCAGTACTCGAGCAAATGCACGCTGACGTGAAGCAGATCGCAGCACTTGAGAGCGTCGTTGACGGTGGCAAGACGGTTGAGGATTCCGGCGAGACCGTGGGGGTGCTCGGCCAGCACGACAAGGTGGGAGTACTGCTCGGGGGGGATGGGCGGGTGTGGGATCGTTTCAACATAGGGCAGGTTGTCCTCCTCCAGGCCCGGAATTCGATAAACTAGCTCCATCACTGCGTTAGCCTGGACGTTGGCATGTGACATCGAAAGTTAATAAATCACACACACACACACGGTGAGTAGAAAGAGTGCAACCTAACTGTGTTACTGAGGCCGTGATTGGTCACTTTGGTCTCAACCACTTTCGGAAACACCATCCTACTGGTTAGGCTTCGTGATTACACAAAGCATTCAGTTCTACTGCTTTCCACACTTCTACAAGTAGGCGTTCACAACTTCAATGAAACCCAGAAGGTACTGTGGCGAACGATTATTTAAAGTTGAGCAAAAAGTCACATTCAGAATCTTAAAAACGCAGTCAGAGAATTGTAACCTTATTAGACGTGTTGGGGCAACTTAAACGCAAATCAGAGGATTCCAATAACCGGCGGAGTTAGAGAAAATCAATTAAAGGACGTTTTCAAGTAACTGAGTGAGGCATCTGTGGGTACATGGAAGTGTTAAAGGTTGTTATTTCGATCTGATTGTCGTTTAATGGAGGAAAACAACATTACGTTATTTGGATTTGCTAGCCAGATGTGCGTATAAACGTCCCGTAGAAGGAGCTGAGGCATCAGAATCTGGTTCTCGCAGACCATCTCCAGTCGCATATCGGTTGTCAAGTTGTTCTCTGTACAGATGTAGTTGATGACATCAGAGATGGTCGGACCGAAGCCACGTGTGTTGGACCTAAAAAAAGGGCCACAACAAGCTCAGATTAAGCGCAAACCATTGCCTGGAGAGAGAGAGAGAGAGAGAGAGAGAGAGCACGACAACTACACTCAACCAAATCACGGTAAGATAACGGAGTTAACGCCTGTTTATGGAAGAAATGTAGCATATCAGTGATAAGCGGCTGCGGTTGCAAGAAGCGGTGACAAAAAGAAGCCTACATTACGACTTCGCGGATGCGACGAACAAAGAGGTACTCCTCCTGGTCCCGCCACACAGAGAGGCGAACAGGGAAGGGTGGTATCTCCGTTTCTATGGGGCACACAGGGGCACAGAGCTGCTCCAATAGGAAGACGATGGCGTTATGGTTGGCATCTACTGGGTACTGGGCAAGGAAATCAAGGACGACCTAGATCGGGAACAAAACGGAAATGCGTGAAGGGGCTTCGCGAATGATGAAAAACATAAAAATCGATATAGAAGGAACTTTGGGAGAGCAGCATCGAGGAACCGAGTTCTGTCTGCGTGGGTTGCACATGTTGACTGTGATCGGTTTAACACAGAGAAAGGCGTACAATGGGCACCGATTTCGTTTGACTGCGACGGCAATGAATTAGCGATTTGTTAAGAAAACCGTTGCTTAAGTGTTGGACCGCGCAGAAAAGGGTTGGCGCGGGTATCATTGACACGAGGCGGATTCACACAAACCCGAATGAGACTCACCTTGAGGTAGTCGCGTGTTCGAGATCCTGCGAGACCTGAGAGTTGGTCCAGCATCGCCTTGTAAACCGATTCGGCTTTGCTTGTGTAGGCTGAGCGCTGGTACACCAGGGGGCGTAGGTTGACTGTTATGTGAAGGAGGAAACGCACGAGCTGATTCTGGTACTCCGGTCCGAGGTCATTCTATGGTTTCGGTGAATAAAGCAATAGGGAACATGAATTTGAGATAAGCCCTAAATATGATCGAAGTCGCATAAACATCACCCAGGGTACAATGATGGTCTGGAGGAAGATATGATTGGTTGATACTGACGTGGACCAAAATTACTTTAGGTGACCTAGCCTCATATGGACGAAGAAGAGGAGACAGTACATCGTCCAACTTCAAAAGGACTGAGTGAAAACCACGCGACTCCTCGCCCAAGAACAGACACTGATCAGAAGCCACTTGCGCCCACCAATTTAAGGGGGAAACCTTAGGCGGACGCCGGACACCGACGGCACGTGTCCGTGATTTCGAGTCACATGACTGTGAACAAAAACAAGTGGCAAACCGTGTGCCGAAACAGTTGGCTGTGTGTGTGTGTGTGTGTGTCAAGACCTTCTGAACCAACAGGACCACCTAACTAGTTTACGTGGGCGTGTTTGTTCAACACCAAAGGGCGACGAGCGCTTTACCAGAGGCTGGAGAAGTCGGAGGAGATCGGACGTGTGCAGCAGAACGCAGGCGGGGTTCACGCCTGGGAGAGCACCGGTGCCGCTGGTGGGCGACAGCTGGGGGGGCACGCACTCGGTCCAACGCTGGCCCGTAGGCAACAAACTCCCCGCGCCCTCAATTGACGACATAGTAGCCAGCGTCCGTGTCAGCAGTGGGTCGAGGCGGTCTACGGGGGAAAATTCACACCACCTTAAGGTAACACCCTGGAATGGCCCCTGATTGTATAAATTACTATTGAGGTGTGTAGCTCAACAACAATTAGACCTCACACATTATGAACTATCACAACAGTCAAAATTAATTCAACAACCTACCCAACAACTTTGCTTTCAGCAACAGCAGTGGACGCATTGGCAGGGGCCTGCTTGAGTCACTGGGCACCACTGCAGGACGCATGATGGCGACATTGCCTCTAGCTCTGGCAATCTTTGGAACCAGTCCCAAGGCACTGCCGCCAGACAATTCCCACATGGTTGAAACCACTGGCTGAATCCGGAAGTCGTCGCTGAAAGCCGAGCCACGGAGGTACACAAGGCGGTCCAGGTAAGGAACACACTCGCTCGAGAGGTAGCAGAGGGATTCAGCAGCCCTGTTGGTGGAGGAGCTGGAGGCCAGAGATAGGGTTTTAAGGAGGCTCAAACAACAGCTCTGGTTTCGGCTGCCTTGGGCATTGGAGGCGGAGGAGAAAAGGAGGGGTGTCATCCAACTGCCATGAGGAGTTTCTGGAGACAAAAAAGAGTGAGAACTGAGGTGGGGTGACGAGGTGGCCACATCAAGGAAATAGACATCAACCTTCTACTGCACGACTTGGCGAATTCAGATCGAGTTTCGCTCGTAGAACTTTGTACCGCCACCGAAGAGCGTAGCGACCAGCCAGGATGAGGTCACGTCTCTTCGCCTTCTCTTGGACGCCCAGTTTTTCAACGGCTTTCATGACGCGCGCCTCACTGGCTGCAATATTCATGGACAATGCATAGTGCTGTCGCCAGGCCTACAAAAAGGTGCAACAGGAAAATTTGATGTGTTGAAGAGACGATAAAGAGATGGGATGTGATAGAGATTTGATATCAAACAAGAAAGATTAAAAGGCACAAAGTGTGCAAGTCAGAAACGCCAATCCAATTAATATGTCACACTATCTTTGAGACTTGTCAAAATCAATAAACGCCAGGGTCATTAGGGGGAAGTGAGATGATGCGGAATTCAAGAATCTCAAGTTGACCTACCGAATATGAAGACTCCTTGTCACCTCGAAGCCAGGCGTCAAAGTTGACGGACGGAGAATGGAAGCCACCGGACTTCATGTTGTTTGCCTCTTCAACGCCTTCATCAGCACTAGTCGAGGACTTCCGACTGACCGGTACATACTTAGCCAGAGCTTCAAGATTTCGGATGCACGGGAAGAGGATGTTTTGCACTACGGGTGCTGGCGGCGAACGAGGATGTCGCGGAAGCTCATCGGAAGAGGGTGGCTGTTCGGTTAGAGAGAAGAGAAGGCGAAAGACGGGGCGCAGTCGAGCTTCCCAACAGGCAGCGCTTTGATCCAACGGATCTACAAACAGACCAACAAGACGATGCATTCCACACGTGTTTCCGCTAATCCGTCATTTATGAAACGGACGGGCCGCAAACCTTTGAACGAATTCACCTTTGAGAAAATCTTATCACACAGAAGAACCTTCTAGGGAGAAGTTTCTCCAGCTCAGTGGAAACTGCAACGGAAGTCAGAAATTAATCTCACAAATTTGACCTGTACCCTATCTAGAACGTTACAATCGAATGTCATGGAGGGACTGATGCAGATTATAGGAATTTTTAGCCAGGTAGCATTAAAGTGAGTGAGGTCTCGTTTACACCGACTGATTCAGTGAGAGGACTAGTCTTTTAAACGCAACCAGTACCAACAATACAGCCTTACTCGTTTGGAGACAATTTGTCGTGGACGTTGCCACAGCCACGCTGTTGGCGTTCCCAGGCAAGATGGACTGCACACTCGATCCAAGAAGAGCCACTTCTTGGGAGCACAGGTGGCCCAGTTCGTAGGTCTCGCCCTGGCAATCCGCGGTCCTTCTGAGCCGATCGACAAGCACTTCACCGAGGTGATCGATCTGTCCAAACACAGAAAGGCAGTTAGACTGACCGTCTGTCAAAACGATGTACATCAAAATGACATTAAGATAGCTTACCAGCGGAACAGAATCCTGCGTCGCATTAACAATTAAATGCCTCAATTTATTTTGCACAACTGGAGACAAATATCGCAGTCCTGCGACGGCCCTCTGGATGAATTCTTTCAGAACTTCGAAGTTGCAAAGCTTGGGCATTGTATGCAGTAGGGTTTCTGTGCTGTACATTACAGTCGCCAGCATACAACGGTAGCATCCACCGACGTTTCCCCTCGCACCTGGAGCCGCCTTCCACACCGAGACATCGCCGACGCCGGCGTCGTAGTTCGCGACCGCCTGACGCAGAGCCCACAGACGACAAGCGATGATGGTGGCGTCGAGCTGGATACATTCTGCCTCCAAGGCGTAGTAGGTGAAGTGTGCTAGGCTCGAATTAGGTTGGCTGGAGGGACCGCCAACCGTGGTGGCGTCAGTGGAGATGATATTGAGGGCCAGGTTGTTTTGGACGCGACTCAATGCCTGCGAGGTCGTGTTGAGGTCTTCGGTCAGGGTGACAATGCAAGAAAGCGCGGTCTCACGATCTTCATCGTCACGAAGATTTGCTACGGCCGTGTAATTAGGCCTAAAAAGGGTTCCACCAATGTTGAGACATTTGCCATCAGATTGGTTGACAATAAATTCCTAACACACATGTCGCACCACAAAATCGATTACCCAAACTACAAACCTCGATGGTTACCGTAAAGAACCAGGGCACAGAATCAAAACAGACATTTAGATTTTAGAAGCAGAGAATTAATCACTTTAGATTGGCCAGTCTTGATGACTTCCTAAGAGTGAACGACGGAATTTGTCAAAATCACGCTCGCCTACCAACTAATGACTGTCCAGAAACCTTGGTAATTTATCTCTACCAATGGTCTATGTGTTTCTACAGTCCCCGTTGTTTGTAAAAACGCCTGCCTACAGATCTCCCTGTAAGCCCGTGACTTGGAGGTAAAATCAAATTGTGAGGTGAGCAATTTGATGAACGGTCGTGTCGCCGTTGTGCCAGATGTTCCTTCGAGACGACTTTAGCGTGGCGGCTGTCTGGTGCTCCACAACACAATGGAAAAGTCTACCCCCAAACTCCTCCGTATTCAAGAATAGCCTTCCATGAACCTCCCTCAGCACCAAGATTCGAAATCTCTATCGGTTTGGCCTACATTGCCGACGACTTGCCCTCACCTGATCAGGCAACCAAATTACTCGAAAAGAAAACATGGAAATCTAAATTGAGATAGCTTTTCCCCAGACACGTAGACTATTAGTTGGCAATGGACACTAATTGCCAACGAATTATGCCTACTTGAAACCTCAAAGCAAGACAAGTTTAATGACTGGAGCCACGATGCCTTTGTTAGCCACAATGTTAAAGAGCATGCGGTCACATAAACAAACGAAAACACCGTCACCCGAGGTACGCCAAACGATTCAATTGATATACCAGAGAAAACAGGTTGGCGTGATTGGCATCAACAGCACCCGCGTTCTACACATGCTCTCTGGCCGCTTAAATCTAGGCATTTATCAAGCCAAAAGCACTGACAACGGATCAGTGGCGGGCGACTCACCGAGCTACGATAGTGAAGGACATAAAATTGAAATTGGATGAGCCACACTTCGTGCAGAGGAACATTTCTTCGTCACTCAGGTTGATGAACAAGCAACGTGAGCATTGGTTTCCATTCTGCTTGCAATTCTGGCATGTTGATCCCTGCAGGATGGGCAAGTTGCAGCGCCAACAGACACGTTTCTTCCTGACGTTTCGCAGTGAGGTCGCTCCAGGTCCCAAAAGCCCACCACCCAAAGCCCCACCATTGGCATTCTCATAGTCCTCGTCCTCTCCCATTCCATGAAAGGCGGCGTATTCAAAGATGAGACTGTTGGCGGTAAGCGTGAGACCCGGTGAGAGACGAACCTCCACGGTGGCTGCGGCGTCCGGTGAAGACTCGAGTTGCGGTGGAAAAACGTAGTCCTCTTCGGAGGCCAAGTGGATCACGACGTTGTACTTGGTGGCTGGAATGTGCACCTGCGCGACGCGGCTCCAGAGATGGCGGGCACGCATTAGACGCGACGGAGGGCATTCAAAGGCGTTGGACGAGTACACGTTGAGGGTTCGGACGAATCTGAGGGCATTGTTCGGCGGAAGGAACTATAAGGCGATCAGGTTCGAAATTAGCGAAGAACACGATTACGACACAATTTTCAGTGCGTAAGTAATTAAGACTTTGGAGGTAACTACTTCAGCAGCACGAGAAATTACCCTAACACCGATTTGAGCGATGTCGTGGACCAAGGGCAATGCGAAGATGTGCACGTTGGGCGAGACCCAGGTCTGAGGCTCAATGTCAACCACAGCCATGGGCTTGGGTCCGGGGATCGACTTGGCTTGTGTTGAGGCCTCGGGAGCACTTCCGCCACCGGCGATTGAAACTGATGGGGTGGCAAAGAAGGATGGAGCACCACCAGGAGTTGGAGTCCAAAAGACGGGAGTGTTAGCTGCGCTTGAAGAAGCTGCTGCTGCTGCCGCTTGTGCGTAGGTTAAGTGGCCATCTGTGGAGTACAGAAAAAGTTTCTGGGAGTCAAATCTGCCTAAAGGAGTGGCGGGAGGGGGAGAGTTGTGGGATAGTGTAAACATTCACCAACCAATCACACACAGGGACCTGAAGCCTTGAACGGGTTTCACCGAGTTGAACACAACTGGTAGTTGTGGAGGAAAACGGTGTTCGTCAAACGGCTGGACATCCAAAAGTATCACCTGCGCACGTTACTTGTTTCAGCTTTCATCTTAGTTCTGAATGAATTCTGTCAGATATCACTTGAGAGAGAAAGTACATGTACCTTCGTTCGCAGGTGCTACTTCTAACACATCACACGTCCATCACCAAAAATACCATAGCCCATGCGTGATGAGCTAACACAAACCACATCCAAAGCTGAATTGCATGTGGCAGTTTGGTGAGGTAACTCTCAATTCCGATAAAACACATTTGTGATTTCAAGACCTGTTTACGCGGCCGTCACGGCTCTACGTGACGATGAGAAGTGGGAAACTGCGCTTTCTCGCACAGCGCATCAAGCAATCAACGACTGATTTTTATAGTCAAAAACTGCCGAGGCACGGCAAGGACTCGCAGAGCGGGTAATTTGAGAATGGTGCCACGTCCACAAACAAATAGTCCTGATTTTGCACCATCAGACTCCCAACTACGGAAAGGTTTTAATAATTCTTCGAATGGTGAAACTTCTGTTCAATGATAACCCCCGGACATCAAACCTGGTTCTGTAGTTTCAATGATAAAAGCGAAAAGCTTTAGCAGAGCGGAATCATGCAAAATTGCCAGAGGTAGTAAAATGTCATCAGCAAAAACCAAATATACACAACAAGTTAGAACCCATTAGCCGAATTGATTTTTATTCCAACGCACAAAATCGAAATCACTGCCATGCCAACCCAGTTCTTTTTACATATCAGGAGAGGCAAGCCACAGAAGAGATGGTTATTAGGGTGTGAGTTCCAAGAGCAAGCAGTCTTGTTCAGTCTGTGAGGAATGGATAATTGCGCAACACTCCACCCGAGGCATAATTTGATTGTAACCACCAGGAACCACACAAAAGTGACAATGACACCTTCGAGGTCAACAAGGAACCCCAAAAACTCACCACGTGAGGGCTCGACACTTCTGCCAGTATCTAAAATAGCCTCCATCGGTCGCAATTCCCCGGAAAGAAATCGGGCGTGGTACGAAGTCGCCAGGTAAGATGTGCCACCCTGACCCGTCTGGGTGGACGACGATGTGTTCGTGCGACGTCTAGACGGTGAACTGGAACCCCACTGAAGCAGAGCGTAGGGTAGGTTGTTAAAAGCGCCACGGTGGCAAATAAGGCAGGGTTCGAGTTCAAGCGGGAAGCTCGGGAGCTGGTCGCAGGTCAGATGTCGAGATAGCTGACGCGAAGCGTGCGAGTCGTCCGCTAAGGCAAGATCCTCGACTTTGACTCGCAACGTCTTGCTACCACTAGTGGGCAGGACGCTGAGATTAAGATTGCCCAGTTCAATGACTCGCTGCAAGGAAGACAGTGGACGCATTAGCTTGTGCCAGTGCGGGCCTAACTCGAGCCACAGTCACAAACCCAGGAGCTGTCTGTTAGAGGCAAACAAACTCACCATTAGGGCCGTGTACGCGTCGCGTTTTGGGTGGTCAGAGATTGCAGTAAGTTGGCTGGTGAGGAGCGTGACGAGTTGGTTGAGGAAATTCACACGCCCCGCCCACAGCGGCTGATCCACCACGAGGTAGCACGTGAGTTGCGCAAGCTCGTCGCCGTAGACAGCAAAGTTGGGCAGTTCCGCCCAGAGTTGAGGAAGTTGCTGAAGCAGAGCCAGACGGAAGGCTCCGTGGCCGTGGCTAGCGCAAAGAAAGTGAATCGATACGATCGGTGAAAGGTTCGCCAATGGCCAATGTGGCCCCTCCTAAACATTTCACAATTTCAGATCTTGACCGCCTCAAACCCCTGCAACATTGTCCCAGAACCAAGATGAACCTGGAATGTGTTTGGAGTGCGTGAAGTTTGAGGTGGCGAAAAAAATCCCAGGACGTTGTGCGTTACGAAAACAGCGCTTTAAGCATGAGACCGGCAGGATTCACACCAAACGTCTACTCGTGTCTACGTCAGAGTAATTTGGAAATTAGCAACAATTTCCCAATGGAAGTAGTTCAGACTACAGCAGAAGGGATTTCCTGAACAGATTATGATTTGGGTGGAAACGGCACGCAAAGAACGCTGCCCCCACTACTGCCGGAAAATTAGGAATTAAAATTCCCTGCACCGAATTCCAAGTCAACAGTTATTAGAAACACGGTGACGGAAGGCTTTTAGCGGTTGAAGAGTACTCACCGATAGAGGGCAAGGGCAATTCCAAGAGCGATGTGGCGAATACGCGAATCGGCACGACAGCACACCATGTCGCGGAGAAACTCCGCAAACAACTTCGCCTGTTCTTTTCCTTCACCTTCTTCCGGTGTGAGCAATTGGGTCAGGGCGGCGGCAAGTTTTGAGTAGTTGGAGCTACTAGCTGCGCCGCCCTTGGTGCTTTGCTAGAAAAAAACATTAAGCGGTACATTAGTGAACACCGAGAACAAGCACCACACACACGCAAGGTGCCTATATCCACCAGTTACTGTGCCTGATTCCTAGTTCGAAGGTCTGATTTGGTGAACCACGTCTACTGATGAACCTACCAATTGTGATTGATGTCCAACTAGTGAATTTATGATAGTAAAAGTCACACAGCGGTTCGCAAAAAGACGTTCGAATGATGGTAGTTAGTTTAAAAATAAATGAATGATCTTGCATACGCTACCAGCAGCTTGCCCTTAGCATCTAAGAAACGAGAAAAGCTAACCCACCTTAGTAGACGCCGAAGGTGGAACGCTAATTTGCTTCTCAGAGCGTCGATCTGACGAAGTCACCGCGATAAAGACGAGATTAAGCAGGCCTCGGGCGAGTGGATCGCGAACGCATAAGCTCGTACTCATCATAAAAAGCAGGTTGGCTGTTAAGGAAGAGTGTGGGACAACTTAGACCAAACGTGAGCCAAATAAAGACAAGCTTGGACACCACTGATTTCAACTTGCCTGGCATCCTGATACAAAGCCGTTGCCATATGGATGGATTTGCAAGTGCAATGTTGAGGCAGGTGTGGACGCACGTCAGCTAAAAGCAGGCAGGCAGAATTGTCAGAGGAGCCCTTCACGCTGTGCATGGACTGACTTAAACGTGGACAAAATTGTGAATTACAGTGATACGTACACCACACTAAAACACTACGTCCAACTCTCACTGAACGCAAGTCTTGTCAACACCACTCAGAAGTAAAGGCAGAAGCTGGGGGTTTAGGGGTCAACCACACATGCGATCTGCAGAGATAAACATGGGGATGAGAACGCGGTGATACAGCACCGTCGCAGAGACCTGTGGGGGCGTTTGAGTAGGAACGTGCCTGAACAGGTTTATTCCAAACGGACTGGCGCCTGTCACTCGGCCACCCTTTAAGTGCTCTAGAGGCACGCCCACACACACAATGACGCATGCCATGACGAGCGAATGTGTCCTGATGCCTCATCACCACCCGCTTTGGCAACGAGCACACCAGGGTTGCAATGCAGCCTGCACGCTGCTACAACACATTATCTAACAGTACTGAAAGTCCGTTGACAAGGGGGCGAATCGTACCATCGAACACTCATCGCGGTAAGGCAGACGAAGGTTCGCCGGTGGTACCAACAGCGCCTCGGAGGAGACACCGCCATTTTCGTCTGAAACGCTGGTCCGCTGATCCGCTATGCACATGCCACGCAGGCGACTGATCATTTGACCCAACAAGTGGATGTCCTTCAATTGACGGTAGTGTTTTGGCCCAACAAGGAGAACCAAGAGCTAAACAGATTTGAAAGTAGCAAGGATTAACAAAACGGCAGATTATGGCCAAAGGTTTGTTACGGAGAGCACTGTCGAACAGCGTGCAACTTGAGCTGTCGCTAGAGATCACGTTAGAACGATGGGCTTGACGGTAAAGAAATAACGAGGCAGGTAATTAGTAAGACTAATAGAAAAAACGACTATCTTGATAAAATCAATGAAAGGGACAACCTACCGAACGCAAGAGGGCAGAGAGCCGAGAGGTATAGGGCGTTACTTTCCCCTCAGGCAAGTCGGTCAATACCTCAAGGAGGTTATACGCTAAGGAGCACCACTTTGAGTTGAGCTCCTCGCTGTTACAGCTGGTCGTTAGGGCGGCCTCTTCATCGCCCTTCATTCCTCCACACAGGGCGATGGTGAGTCGGACGGTTGCTTCGGTAAGTTGGGTGCTGAAATCGATCCGATGGCACGTGTCGAAGTTCGAGAGGGAGGAGTGAGAGTCGATAATGGGTGCCCAACTGGTGAGACCGGCGCCATAGCCGTTTACGAGGCTTGAGAAATTGACCCCACGTGCGCACTGCAGGAGACCAGAGGTGAGCTGGGGCAAGCTGCCGAGGGCGCTGAGGGACGCCCGACGGGTCGATGCGC